TGAGAATGTTACGCTCAGTGATCCCAGAGGAACCTGTTTAACCATAATTGGAATGAAGCTGGTTTTGCAAGGTATTTCTTGCATCTCATCTATGGTCAAATGAGGGTCCATAGACATACTGCAGAATGCCTCTTGGAAGGGTGTTTGTAGGATATTATCACCTGAGGTGCCAAATCAGTCCGTGTTGGAAAGCATTCCAGGCCCATGGTATTAGTACATTGTTCATTCTGGAACAGAACGTAACTGAGGCATTTTACTGTAACATTCTTATCGGATATCTCACTCCATTTGCATTTGGATTTTGGAAGGGAAATATAATTAAAATAGTCCAAAACTTATTTCAAAACTGTCCAAGTATGTGGGATGTATACACTATCAAAATATAGACCATTGTGTAGATGTGAAGAAATATAAGATAATCAATTCACTTGTAACTGATCTTTATGATTTCCTTTAATGTACAGGAAACTCAGGATGGGAAGGCAAAGATATCTGCCCTTTGGAAAGAGAAAGTACGTAAATCGTTTCTATTGTTGGACGTAAACGGAGACGGGACGGTAAGTAGGTGGGAGTATGTGGATGAAACAGCAAATAGAAGTCGCCAGGTCCTGTCCTCCTGGAGAGCCAAGGCTGTGTGCGGACTGATGAGATCCGATTGGCAAACTTTGTTTTCTCCCTGGATAGATATGAAGTAGGGACTGCATATTGACAGTTTCGTCGAATTCGTCGAAATGCGAAAATTCAGATTTAGCAATACTTTTCTACCAGTTGGAATGGTGCTGGAATTGGCTTCATATCATTGATGCAGGCTGTGATGGGGATGTGTCTGAAAAGGAATATGCTAATCTTTTTGTGATATTCCGTAGCACACTGGCTCCGGAAAAACCATTCAGAGTGCTTGGCCATGATCACAATGGTGTTTAAAGTTGGAATGAATTCATCATGGGTTGTTACCATTATTCGTATGACCAAAATGATACCACAACGGCAAGTTTCTTCAGAGAACGAGGGATCTGATTAAAGAAAAACTATAAAAAGGGGAGTTCGTTATCAGCTAACCTTCCGTCTCTTTTTCAAAGAACATTGAGTATTTTTGTTCAGCATCGTTGCGTATGTGCGTGATTAAAAGTAATTTTGGTGACAATGTTTTGAAGCGTATTTTACTGATACTTTCATACATTCACCGACGACCAAGACTTATTTCACGATGACCTTTCACAAAAGTAAAACTCAATTCAGATTGGTAATCTTAAAATATTACTGATTTAAAAACGTCTAATTACGAAAACCCTCAGAGGCAGGCTATCCGAGCAAAGCGACACTGTTTTTGTGTACAGCCCGTATCGTCTTTTACATTGCTTTTCTAATCACTTTATGCTTGCATAACTGTTTGCTGTGTTTCTGAATAGATACAAACAATAAAGAAAATGTAAACTAATGTATACGGAAATATTAATGCTGGTATGACTTCATCGTCTCCGCATGAAAGCTGTAATTATTTGTTTCGCAAAATATAAACTAGACGTCACACGCTGACTGTTTATACCACTGCCAGAATTCACCAATAACGAGCTCAACTGGTAAGCATAGGTCGTCCCTGGAGAAATTTTGTTTCACGTTGCACTTTGTAATGATATTGCTTTCAAAGGATGCAGAACAATCCGCCACGTCATTAATCCAACATTCATTATTATTTACTAAGACTGATTTCACTTGTACACAATAAGGTTATTTAGATTAGATTTCAATTCATTGTGGTTTACAGAAATTGATTTTTTTCATCAACATGTGTATTTTAGCAGAGATGTGCAATTAAATTTTTTTCACCATCTTGACTTTGGCATCGGGGTGGTCGAAGCAGACAGCCACGTTAATACGTTATATTGTAATTTTTTACAGACAGAAATATTGACCATGCACCTTTCGACCTTCGTATTAACCCTAGTGTTATGTACAAGCTGTGACGCTGGTGACCATGAACCATGGGCCCGGGAGGTGAGTTCCGCGTGTTGTCTATGTCCATTTAGTGCATATTTAGGGTCAGCTAATATTTATATAGATTTCCATCCATAATTATTTCCACTAACTTGTAAGTTTGTAAGGACCAAGATACCGAAAGGGGCTTACAGGCTTGTAGGTGTTATTTGTTTATTCCGTGTTCAGCACAATATTTTACGGTACCCACGTGGGATCTTAACAAAGCAAAGTGATATAAATTCAGCTATAATAATCTCGAATATGTCATAGGGTGCGTTCACAATAAAACCATCGTACTAGGTAGATCGACCCAACTCCACAGAAACTCTCACTAAATGTAATCAGAAATAGTGGATGCCATGCTTCTGCGAACAGGGTTTGATTTATATATAAATTGGGTATGAACACTGTAAATTGTTGAACTATACCATTGTGTGCATGTAAATAAGTAATTTTAAATCAATGCACCAATGGCTGATTATGACATTCTCTATCAATGTAGGAGACTCAGAATGAGAAGGCCTCTGCTTTCTGGAAAGAAAAAGCACGTAAATTCTTTGGCATGCTGGATGCAAATGGAGATGGAAACCTTAGAAGGCAAGAATATGTAGATGAAACAGCAAATAGAAGTCGTCAGGTGCTGTCCTCCTTCAGAGCTAAGGCTGTTTATGGAGTGATGAGCAATAATTGGAAATCTTTGTTTCTTTCTCCAAACACGCCGAAACTGGAATTGGGCTTTGATGAATGGCTTGACTTGATCCCATCCGGTATTTGCAACAGCAGAACAATTTTCTCTGAACTGCAGTGGTGTTGGGACTGGTTCCATATCATTGATGAAGATTGTGGCGAGGACGTGTCTGTCAACGAATATGCTAATTTTCTCATCATATTCCGTAGCACAATTCCTCCAGAAAAACCATTCCAAGAATTTGATCATGATCAGAATAATGTACTATGCGCAGAAGAATTTGTTATGGGCTGTTACCGTGACAGATTTGACACCAAAGAAACAACATCAGTACCGTTCTATGGGAATTGAATTTAATCTGAAGTATGTGAATTATGCACATAATTAACATAATTCAATAAAACACCCAAACCCAATATAGAGGTGCAATTGATGTCACAAGCATGTTATTAAAAATATTTACTGCACAGATTGCTAACTGTGTTTGATTATTTTAGGGTCCATACATGAAGAAGCTTGTATAAAAGTTTCACTCTCTTGGAACCATGAATAATAAAAATAATTCATCGTTTAACCCCAAAAAGGAACATACGTTACTGTCACAAACACAAAACGTCCAACTGTGAAACGTTCTACTCACTTTGAAAATTCAGTCATCACTGGTACTTGTTCATTGATTTATCTCCTACAAGTATAACGTTGCTAAAAATTATAATAATCTTCTGTACAGAGCAGTTAATTGTTTATGAGCGACTTTAGTTTGCTTGTCACAGAATATTAAAAAATGGGGAAAATACACCCTACCGACAGCAAAATAAGCATTAAATAAAAAAAATTCCCTTCATGATCCAAATATTATATCAGAAATGTCAAACTATCATGGAACCACAATATATTGTTCGGTCTGCAAAAGAAAACATTGTATCTCTTGCACACAAGTACTTGAACAAAATGAAACATTTTGACAATTTTTCTAGGGAACATACGTTACCTAGTATAAGCCATGACGCAAAGCCCCTTGAGATACAGTTTTAATATTTATAAAAACGTCCTTACGTCATGTCTAATTTACAATGACTGAACCACTAAAATACATATAGGAACGCGGCATAAAAATGAAAATTAAGTGGCAAGAACATACGTTACCGTACGTTTTTTGGAACATACGTTACCATATAGGGCTCTTTGCGTAATTTTAAAGATATGGTTAAAATTGAAAATTGAATCTCAGTTGAGACAGTCGTGGATTTTTGTTCTATACACATATATGTTTTGAAATATTGAATACTATTTTGAATTCATTCATTTTTATTTTTTGACACTTTAGCATGTGAAATGCACCTCTATTTTGGGTTTGGGTGAAAAACGTTTTTTTTTTTTTAATTATGTGAATGATGCACAATGGTTACAAAAGGTGTCAGTAATATTCAGACAATTTTCTTCTTCTCTAAATTACATAGATTTCGATGAAAGGTTTTGAAATGAAGGAAGACTTGTTTTATCTAATTCTTACAACCTTTCACTGTCAAGATACCTGGATTTGTGTATATAATCTATTCGGGTTAAAACTTTAGATTTTAAAATTAATGTTTATTAATTTTGACCACTTTATTCCCCATTCTAGCAAACTTTCATATTCACGATAACTAAAATTGCTTTTATGGTCTATTCAGAATTTAGCCTTAAGACTTGAAAAATTAAGAAATATAAATTTCATTTTACAATTGACGCAATATCTGCAAAAGGTGGAGCATAATAAAAATTGTTTGATGATTGTTTTTGTTATCTCTACAAGCTGACATAAAGGCTAGCGATGTTTCAAACCAAAAGCAAATTATTCAGATAATGAAAACTTATGTCATCCGTTAATACATACTGGTGTGATTTTATGTTCTTCACGTCGAAATTTGAATTACATATACTGGTATTACCCAAAGTAAACGAGGAATCAAGCACTAACTGATCATTATGTATACTGGGACAACGAATAAGAAAGAGATCCGGTAAGCAGATTTATTCTCTATGGGGCATTTTAAGTCATAGTACATTCTGCATTAATATATTATTTATAATATCAGTCAGTTATTAGTCAGCTGCCGTTGTATGCATATTGAACAGTGAACAGTGATTGATTAAGTTTGATATTAGGTGTGAACAAATATGCTCATTGTGTTATAACGGGAGATTGAATATCTATTAATTTCATCATTTCAGACAAAGCAATTGATCATGTACCTATTAACATTCGTGTTAACCCTTATGCTATCTTCAAGATGTTATGCCAATCAATCATGGACACGTGAGGTGAGTTATATTTCACTGCCCTATTAAGATATCACCTTCCAGCCGTCAGGATTTCCAGTCTGATGTAAGCTTGTAAAAGCATGTTCAACCAAAAGGACTGACGAGGATCTACAACACTGGTCACAAAGGTTGTCCTACCCCCAAACCCATGTGCCTTTGTTGACAAATGATCACCTACAGGTGTAAATTGTCACAAACTGTGCTTTTTATTCCATATAGATTCAGATTTTTTACATGTACCCCCTCAAACCCAATGTTTCACTGTGCTTTCTGCATATGTGAAGAAATGGCCGTAAATTTTCAAAAACGCTACCAAATGGCACCAAATGTGATGCTTGTTCAGATGTCTGTTAAAGGTCACGTGTCTAATCGCGAGTTTGCCTGCCACGTACGGCAATAATCTCATGTAGGCAGCGCGACAAGCCCTCAACAAGGGCAACAATTCTGTTTTGTGGAATATTGTCCCAGTCTTCCTAAAGAACTTGCAGGAGTTGAGACATGATTTAGGGGGTTGGTTGTCCTCTGCATTGTACACTCCAATCCATGCCACAGGTGCTCAGTAGGGTTAATTACAGGGCTCAAATGTGATGTTTCATTTCTCAGAGCATTGTATTTTTGAAACAAATCACTGGCCAAACGAGAATTATGAGTAATTGCGCTGCTATGATGAAGCCTGGAGTTAACCCTGAAGTCAGCTCTTGCAGATGGAGTGAAATATGAGCTGAGAATATTACGCTCAGTGATCCCAGAGGAACCTGTTCAATCATCATTGGAATAAGATGATTTGCTAAAGAATCAAGGTATTTCTTGCATCTTATCGATGGTCAAATGAGGGTCCATACACATGTTGCAGAATGTCTCTTGGAAGGGCGTGTGTAGGATATTATCACCTGAGGTGTCAGATCCGTCCGTTTTGGAAAGCATTCCAAGCCCATGTTATTAATAGATTGTTCCTTCTGTAACAACGTTACTGGGGCATTTTACTGTAACATTCTCAACGGATATCTCACTCCACATTTGCATTTGGATTTTGGAAGGGCAATATAATTAAAATAGCCCTAAACTTATTTCAGACCCGTCCAAGTATGTGGAATGTATACACTATCAAAATATAGATCATTGTGTAGATGTGAAGAAATATACACTTGTAACTGATCTTTATGGTTTCTTTTAATATACAGGAAACTCAGTATGGAGAGGCAAAGATATCTGCCCTTTGGAAAGAGAAAGCACGTAAATCTTTTCGATTGTTGGACGTAAACGGAGACGGGACGGTAAGTAGGTGGGAGTATATGGATGAAACAGCAAATATAGAAGTCGCCAGGTCCTGTCCTCCTGGAGAGCCAAGGCTGTGTACTGACTGATGAGATCCGATTGGCAAACTTTGTTTTCTCCCTGGATAGATATGAAACAGGGACTGCATATTGACAGTTTCGTCGAATTGGTCGAATGCGAAAATTCAGATTTCGCAATACTTTCCTATCAGTTGGAATGGTGCTGGAATTGGCTTCATATCATTGATGCAGACTGTGATGGGGATGTGTCTGAAAAGGAATATGCTAATATTTTCGTCATATTCTGTAGCACACTGGCTTCGGAAAAAACCATTCAGAGCACTTGACCATGATCACAATGATGTCCTAAGTTCGGAAGAATTCATCATGGGTTGTTACCGTTACTCGTATGACCAAAATGATACCAGCACTGCAAGTTTCTTCGGAGACCAAGGGATCTTATTAAGGAAAACATTTAAAAGGAAGTTCGTTATCAGCGAACCTTCTGTCTCTTTTTCAAAGCACATTGGGTATTTTTGTTCAGCATCCTTGCTTATGTTCGTGATTTTATGTGTTGCATGGAGACAATGTTTTGAATCGTATTTTATTGGTATTTGCATACATTCACCGACGACCAAAACTTATTTCACAATTATCTTTCACAGATGTAAACTTCAAAAATTAGTCAATGAAGCAGCATTTTTGAAATTCAGATTAGTAATCTTAAAATAAGCACAACACGTATAAAAAGGAGGTGAAAACATGATGTTATTATACGTGTTTGTATAAGTTGCTTCTTAGTTGAAAATTTTGAAACTCACTTATGTCCATGTGGATTTTTGCCTATAGCATAAATTGGACTTGGGTACAAACTGATTGCTCCAAACCTCTGTGTTAACTATTATGCAAGGATTCTGATGTTTTTGTAAACATTGTATGAAATAAAACTCTTAGAAACATATCTGTTTGGGTAGATGAATGCTGGTAAGTGTTCATGGTCTCGGCGTAAGCTATTGGTTGACCTATACGACTCAAATGCCAATATAAATGTCGCAACGCGCTCTGACTGATCATAATGTAACAAGGCATCAAATTAGGAAGAAATCAGCTAAGTAAAAGTTTTCTTAAGGACACTTTCAATACATGATATATTATCGTATGTACAAACATAACTAATTTGAATTCAATACCGTAGAATTTAAGCTTGATGCATGTGTAACTTATGGATCATAGTTAAAGATATCAAATAATGTATTTCGAACATGGGGTTGATCAGAAAATAACTGTATATCTGCACGAGGTGTATACTTATAATTCACAAAGCAGAGATTTTTGAATAATTGCCAACCGTTACATTTGCAGCCCACATAATCTTCAGTTTGATGATTGCTTTTGTTATCACTACAAGCTGACATAAAGGCTGGCGATGTTTCCAATTAAAAAAATAATTTAAATAATGGAAACTGATGTCATCTGTTAAAACTTACTGGTATGATTTTATGTTCTTGGCGTTGAAATTTGAATTACGTATACTGGTATGTGAATAAGTGAATAAGGCATCAAGCACTGACTGATTATTATGTACACTGCATATACATGGGACAACGAATAAGAAAGACACCCGGTAAGCAGGAGTGTTCTTTCTGGGGTATTTTAAGTCGTATTACATACTGCATTAACATATCATTAAGTAATATCAGCAGTCGTCAGTCAACTGCCGTTGTATCCAGATTTCACAGTGATTGATAAAGCTTGATATTAGGTGTGCACACTTATGCTCATTGTGCTATAACGGGAGATTGATTGGAAAAAGAACATATTTGTATCATCATATGGCAAGGCATGGGTTAATATGTACCAACTCAGATCCGCCATTTTTAAAAGAAAATTCACCCATATTTATTATTTAACTATAAAAATATCTATTGATTTTATCATTTCAGACAGAACATTTGATTATGTACCTGTTCACCTTCGTGCTTACCCTTGTGCTACCTTCAAGCTGTTATGCCCATAAATCATGGACACGTGAGGTGAGTTATATTTTACTGCCCTATTTCATGTGAGATGTTAACGCCACATAAACCCACCCACACCTCCGCAACCCCTTTTTTCAACTTTGTTTCCACCTGAATGCCTTGTTTAAATATTGTTTTCAAAGTCAAATGTGAACAAATAGATAAAAATTAAGCAAAAAATTGTGTGAATGCTTTTTTAATATATTGTGAAAAAGGTGAACAACATGAGTGCTACCTAAATATTGGTACATTACTAGAGCACTGTCCGAGATAGCAAACAGTGCATTGACAGTTAAGCAACGCAGCTTACTATGGGGTTTTTGCTCTCACTAAGACCAGTAGGGAAACCACTGTTCACAGCAGGTCATATACAGCGACGTCTGCAATAGACTGGGGACCACGTGCGTTTGGAGCCAAACCACCGGAATCACGTCGTTTTCAGTGATGAGGCCAGATGTGGATTTTTTTAGGGTTGACGGTCGAATCCGTGACCGCCGACGTGTACGAGAGCCATAAATCGATGATTGTGCAGGGCCGTAGCCTGAGCAAAATGCCAGGGGGGGCAGTAAGCGGACACGAGGGGGCGAAGCTACCGAGGGGGGAGGGTGTGGTGTGTAAAATTCCAAATTCCAGGGGGGGCAGCTGCCCCCCCTGCCCCCCCCGGAGGCTACGGCCCTGTTGTGCACTGCCTAGGGTGCAAGCAGGGGGTGGCAACGTCTCTGTTTGGGGAGCATTTCATACCGATGCTCAGAACCAGTTGGTGTTTCTAGGAGGCAACCTCAACCAGACTTCCTACAGAGAAATTCCACAGCAAACAATGCTTCGATTTGAAAGAGTCGTCTTCAGGAACAACTTTGTGTACCAATTCGAATGCGCAACCCCACATCGAGCTCGCAGAATCACTGTTTTTCTTCAAAACCAATGGGTTCAGCAACTGCCCTGGCCTGCAAACTCCCAAAACAGAATTAATAGTCATCGGCCGGTAAATAGTGATGAACTGCGACAGGCAAATATCACTGCGTGGAATGAAATTCCCATCCCAACTCTAAAAAACTTGTCACAGGGTATGCCATGTAGGATGAAGGCGCTTCAAAGCGGCTGCTGGAGGTCATACCCGCTACTGATGACTTTGCGTGATTTACTGTAATGAGTTCTTTTACTGCGTAACATATCACTGTCCAGAGGCTATCATTTCCTTTAATATCTTAGCTTAAAGTTAGTACTGACATGAAACTGTTGATATGGTTTTCTGGGGGTGTTCTTTTCTTTTGAATGACTTCTTATGTCAGATTTTATATTATTGACCAAAATATCTCACAATAGAAGACTGGATATTTTTATCACCCAATAACATACTTTTTTGATGACTCAAGTGAAATTTTTTTAACCATATTAAGTAGTAACCCTGTAGGTCACATTTCCGCAATCTAGTGTAGTCCCAACTGTTGTCTACTATGGGACGTTGGACTGGTAGCAAATTTCAAAGAGAAGGATACCGCAACCGCATTTAAAACTCCTTGAACATTATCATTTTGCCATTTACATAAGCTACACTTTAACAACAGGATATTATTCCAAAGGATGGCCCAACGTTTCAAACGTAGGTCAAACATAAGCATTACCCACGACCCAAAATGCTAACCAAATGTCAGATTGCTTATTATCTGGGGTTGGCTTATACTGTTTCGAAACAAGCCTCAAATCACTGGTTCAATGATTGGAAGCAAGCTGTTGGCTCACCCCCACCAGGATGGCAGATATAATAGGCACATTTTCCACATTTAAACCCTGTAACTTTAGCCAGATGGAAGCAATTAAGTCTGCTCGTGTGCAGATGGCATTGTACCTGCCCTGTAGGGAGCAACTTCAGGAGATTCCTCAG